ACGGATTCCTCTCGTCGCTGCCTTTCCTCACGCAGTTCCTCGCCAGCGTGTCCTGCGGTGTCCTCGGAGACTGGCTACTCACGCGCGAGTACATTACCGTGTCTACTTCTCGAAAGATGTTTGCCTTCGTGTGTAAGTGTATTTTTTTTTCGTTGTTGTTGTTGTTAGTATTAACAGGAAGGGTAATGATAGTTGTAATTGTGTTAGTATTAATGGCGGTAGTGGTAGTGGTAATAGTAGCTACAGAGACAATAGGGGTATTAATGATAATACTCGCATTTAGTTGTAGCACTAATAAGGAATAAGACTTACTAAGTGATCTATTTAATGCTAAACTGAAATGCATAAATAACGCTTGTTTTTTTTTATTTACTGAAATTACGCTATCACGTCATTACCAAAATAATGAAATCAAATTGTACTTTCTGCGTTCCCCTCCAAAAATAGCTCACATCATGACGGCCATTGTGCTAGTGACAGTCGGCTACGTGGGATGCAACGCCGCGCTTGCTGTTGCACTTTTCCCAGTTGCAACCGCTTTCTCGGGTGCTTACTGTTCAGGTCACATGCCCAACCACCTTGACCTCTCTCCGAACTTTGCAGGTAAGATATGATATGTTTTTTAAAATTATGAATTCAGAAAAGAATATATATATATATATATATATATATATATATATATATATATATATATTTATATTTATTTTTATATATGTGTATATATATGCAAATATATATATATATATATATATATATATATATATATATTTATACATTTATACATATTTATATATATGTACACACACACACACACACACACACACACACACATACATACATAGGCGGCGGAGCGAGTCTATGCCTGGGGGGGGGGGAGGGGGAATGTGAAAATGCATAGTTTGATGACCTTTTAGACAAAAAGCGCCTTTCACACAATAACATGCGCATGATACAGTCTTCACATAATTATATACTTAGCACATCAGTGTATTCAGTCCTGCGTTAAATAAATAATACCCAGAAGTAATAGATCCATATAGCTTCCACAATTTGTGTGTGTTAACTGTGTTTTGTTGTGGTGGGGTGGGGAGGGGGCGATTTGCTTAAAAGATAGATTACACGTCCATTCGAACTCTGCTAGTTAGGCGTTCATGAGCCCAGGAAAGTCTGTCCTTTACTATACTATACTCCACTATACCTATACAATGCTTTTAATAAATCAAGTTCATGGAAACCAACATGTCTACTGTAAGAGTGATACCCATTCATAAAATGAGATGTAGTATAATTATAGTATATTTTTATTAGTCTGTGTGAACGTGTAAAACCAAATGTAAAGCACAATTTTTACAGCAATTTCTGGGGGGGGGGGGGCGGTGATATTTTCTCGCCCCTCTGCCCCCCCGCTTCCGTATATATATATATATATATATATATATATATATATATATATATATATATATATATATATATATATATATATATATATATGCACGTGTGTGTATTTTGTGTGTATGCATGAACTTATTTAGTCACTGTGCATACAAAGATAGCGCAGTGATAAATTTTTTTCTTAAATAAATGAAAGTTTATGTTAATCGTTTTTACAGGGACCATTCTGGGAGTCGGCAACAGTCTCGCATTCATGGTCTCTATGTGTGTGCCCGTTATTGTTGGTGCCATGACACCTGATCAGGTAAGCTCCTTCAGGTTCACTTAATTACGCGGGAATCTAGCTTTAACATTTCCAGGTTTACTGATAAGGGATCTGTTTTTACGTAACCTACATGCCATGTTTATTAGTGTCATTTCGTTTGTGAAGATAAGAGATTGTAGTATTTTGGTAATGTTGTTAATAGTTAAGACGTTGGTAATTCATGGCGATGTTTGTAAAAATGATTATGATTTTGATAGAAATATAACGAGGGTGATGATAACGACAGTGATATTCAAAAGTAGCCTCGGTAGCAGAATGATAAAAAATATTAATTTTGTTTCAATTACCTATTCCAGTGATATCAAACACATATTTATCTCTTTTTTTTCTCTCTCTATCTCTATGTTCTCTATTCTCTCAATCAATTACTGATTCCAGTGATACCAAACACACATATTTATCTCTTTTTTTTCTCTCTCTACCAGAGCCTACAACAGTGGCAATCGGTGTTCTGGGTGACAGCAGCTGTCTACGCCGCCACGTGGATAATCTTCGCCACCTTCGCGTCGACTGAAATCCAACCTTGGAATTTCGCCGAAGAGGACGAGAAAACCGATATGGAGTCGCAGAAATTCTTGGAAGCCGAGAAAAAAGTCGAGATCGTAAAAAATGGAAATGCCGATACGAAGGAAGTTTCTTGAATGAGGGTGTAATAGTTAAAGACTTATAAATGTGATGGATATCAAAGTCATGTTGCATTTTAGCGGTTGGTAGATTAGATGTGGAAAACTAAAAAAATGTGTAATGGTTGGTACATCAATATCTTCATAAAGGGGGTGTTTTTGTAGCCGTTATCGTTGAAAGAAATTGTCCATTCTTTTTTGGTGTGCATTAAGATCGAAAACATTGGGTCTATTGAAAGGTTTTGTAGCAAGAGTGATATCTCGACCCTTTACAAAGATAAGAATCCAGTGTTTCAAAAATTGTCTCATCTTCCAAACCCCGTTTTAGTATGCGTTTGTCTACTAATTTATTTGTGTTATTCGGTGTTTGTGTTATTGGGTATTCTCCTTTTGAAAATATACCAATTCAAAATATTTTTTTCCAAGATTGATGTAAATAATTATACTTGTACCAATATTCATTGTAGTAATATTTAATTGAAAGGCGTCATGCATCACTGCCTAGTCAGAATCTCTACTGGAGCTTACATAATTTAACATGGTTTCATTAACAACTGACTTGGAATTTAAGCAATGTCTCTTTGTATCTTTCACTTTCTATGTTGTTATTATTATATATAATGATATAATGTAATATTTTCGTATTTGCCTACAATAAAATGTCAGTGTATAATGTGTTTTTAAGAAGATATATGTAATTAGCCCCTAGGAACTTACCCTTTTAGTTGTTGTTTTTTCAGTACAAATAATAATCAATCAATTGGTGATAATAATAACTTAAGCTTAGTAGCTATTGCACAAGGTCTATACTGATATAGACCAACCAACAGAAGCATCCGCCAGAGGACGCTCCTTGAATGGAAAGTATAAATGAAAGTCACTCAGTATCATAAAATATCTGTATTTAACAAACGGTGCAGTGAGAAAGACTGCACATAATACGGTTACTGAAGCAATGTATTGTATTACCTTTCAAAGGCATAATCAGATGACTAGTAATAATAATGATGATAATAATATTAACGACAGAATGTTAGATGCAATATACAGCTCTCATGAAGCACAAAGCATGCTCAGCACAGTGTTAGGAATACCTAGCCCCCCTAACTGCTCCATGTGGGGGTGGGGGGTGTCAAGACGTGCAGAACTATAAGGCGTGTTTCTTTTTTTTCCGAGTGGTAGTCTTCTGAATAGCTTCCGAATCTGCCGAGTGGTTGGACCACTCCGGCTGGCAGTCAGAGACTTAAACAGGAGTCTATTGCTTTTTAAAAATACAAAAAACAAAAACAAAAACAAACATGCCTTTCTTCTGGTTGAAACACATTCCAGGCTCAGAGACCTGAGGATTATACACAGAACATGCCTGCACAACATATACTTCCTAACATATAATTTACAACCAATTATGCACATTTAAAGTTTTTAGGATATAAATGTACAATATTCAAATGATGATCTACGCCCAATCCACAATAATGTTACCAAATTCTAAATTATTGCATTCCAAATACTTTACAAAATAACAAACACACTCCCCACATTACTAATCTTGTTAAAACATACTAAATTTAATACTTCACTACCTATAGTCTTTATAGGTATTACAAAGGACACTTGTGACAGTGGCTCCTTATCAAGCCTCTGATCAACTTTCCAGTACCAAACACAAAATAAGAACTCTTCAAACATACATTCTCCAGGCCTTTGGTCTGTTCTTGTCACTTGGATTACACTTCTATTTTCATGTCTGAGACAACAAACAGAAAAAAGTTTTGACATAGACACATACACTTTTATATTTAACTGTTGTTTCAGGTCAAAGTGGTCTCTCATCTTTGTGATGCAAGTCTTCCAGGGCAGTCTAAGTTTTCAAATAAAAAGAAGCTATTTTGGGGAAAATATCTTCAAGCACAGAACCAATTCCATTATTTCTAGACACGGAAAATCATCATCTTGAGCTTACAATGTTTTTTTTATAATGTATACATATCTTCCAACATCCAAATTACACATTATAATCAAAGATATTTTTCCTAACATGAATGAGAAGCTGTGCGGTAATCACTTTGAATACAGAAATACACTGGGGCTGAGTAGCACTACCATATGGAGATCCACCCACAGGATGAAAAGCAGTACTATTACCAGTTATTTTCTACAAGCTAAATACTGTCTGTGATGGGCAGACCTATTAAATAAAAAAAGGTATTTGCAATCTCATCTATGCTGGATTGCCTTGGAATATGCAAACCAAAAATATACATAATATATATGGACAATACTATTTCAAGACTTCCACATAGATTTCTCTTTTTTTTTTCTGACAATATCCAAAGTCCCTTCCTTTACTTGCATTGGATGCTATATACACAACACAACCCCAACCTATAAATATTATTTCTTATGGCAGTGCTACCATGCTACATATCATAGCAGAAGGCATCACTAATTTCCCTAACAAAACACGAGCTCAATGGATGCACAACCTGCACAATGGGAGTGCCCATACTACTCTAAAGCTCTCTAACTCTACAAATCTCAGGAGCGGCTCTTCAGACCTAGTAGTGATATTACTTGTGGTGCCACTCAGCATAAAGTTCTAGTCATGGAGAAGTCTATTGTACAAAAGCTTGATGTGGAGACGGGTGCCTTATTTGCAC